ACTTTGCTCACTTTAATGAGTTGTCTCAATTTTTTATCCCATTTTCTGCCCACTTGTGGAAAGAAAAAAAATGGTGGGACCCACATGTATTATTTTTCACTTCATTTCTCTTCCTTTCTCTTTTTTCTCCTACCAAACAACCTGCATTTTCATTTTCCCTTCTAAAATCCTTCCACCTTCTTCCTTCCTTCTACTTTTCTTTCCTACCAAACATAATTTCTCACACAAGTACAGACAAAAAACTTTCATTGCTTCCTCCATTGGACTAATATTATAATTGCAATTTCTTTTATGCTGTTTATTTAATCATCTAAATACATGACACAATTCGTTCAATCCTATACATATATAACTTGTTTATTAGGTTTTTTTTACTAATAACTTCTTTATTAGTTGACACAAGTTGTGCAATCCTTATAATTTCCAGTATACTTCTAGTTAATCATTTTTGTCGGCATGTATCATTAAAATATGTATAACAAGTTACCAAACTAGTTTCGTCACGTAGTAAGTAAGAAACTTTGTTTTAGGAGGAATACTTTTTTCACGTCTTTATATCTCTTTTTTGTCATTTTATTTTTTTATTTTATTATTATTATTATTTTTTGGTACTGTTTACCTCTTATGTTGTCCACAGATCGAGAAAATAGAGGAAACGCTTTCAATCCCAATGGCTTAGACATTTTCAATATCATTTTTAATGTAAAAAATTAAATGGCAAGCAAATCAACACAGAGATTTATCTTAAGGATGTGTTCGTTTGGTAGACTCAACTTGAGTAAGCCCAACTCAAGTTGAGCCCACAACTGAAATTGTTGTTCAATAAGTTCAGTCCGAATTGTGATTCAAATCACAATTCGAGTTAATGTTGAAGAAGTGGAATTCAACCACCCTCTGAATTCCTCTTAACTCGAGTCTTTTGCTACAGGAAAAGTCATCTGCCAAACTCTGCCAGATTCTCTTGTTACCGTTTCCTTGTCTCCATTCATCCTTTTGCTTCCCTCTTCCTCCGAAAGCTCTTTCTTCTCTGTGCATTCCCATCATCTACAGCCTTGATTCCCTGATTCGTAACCCGCGTGGTGAAGCTTCAACCCAGATCTGATCTTGTTTCGTTTGAGATATTGAGCCAGATTGTTTGGTGACCGAGGAAACCTTACCTCGCTGTTCACCGATTTGCCCAAAACGAAGAAAATAGCTCCTTCCTCAGAATCACGACGTCCTACACTGGGCGTTCTTCTGTGTAGATGTCTCCGCCATCGTCGATCTCAACCTCTGCATAAGTGGAGATATTCTGCCGGTCGTAGACGTTGGAGGAGAACTTTCTGTATTCCATATGCATCACGTTTGGGGCTATTCACGGAAGATTACACTCGTTCTTCCACCGGATCGAACACGGTAAGCCCTCCTCTCTTTCCCATACGATTTGTGAGATTGTAGTTGAACATTGGAACAAAATTTTTGTGGTGAAAATTTCTGAGATTAATAAGTGATTATAAAAAGTTCACTCAATGTTGCTCCTAGAACTCAAACTTCCAATATCAGGGGCCTGGACATTTTCAATATCATAATCTAAGGCAATGATAAATCAAACAGAATAAGCAAAGACAAAAAATATACAGATCTTTAAATTAGAAGCCAGTGGATCCACATAAATAACAAAAACAAATATTGAACGACTACAGTAGCAAATTTTCAGGAGTTTCAAGAAAGTTGAACCAAAATAAAAAATTGCAAACGAAATACAGTTTTTTCTATCGTTTCTGTTTTGGGAATCCTATGAACTGAGTTGCTGTAGAGAGAATTTAATGTGTTTGATCCTGTAGATGACAGCGGATGCTCTGCTTTGATAAACCCCAAACGCGAGTACGGCGGATCTGCCAAAGAAGTTTACCAGCGGCAACGACAACGGAAACACTTGTATCGAGGACAACGGCTAGGCACTCAGAAACGGCGTTTCACACTACATCGACTCAATATTACGGTCAATTGAGGACGCCGCTTCACTCTCTTCGGAGCAATTGACTCCGTTTTGAAAACTGAAGAAGACAGGGAAGACAAAGGAATGGATTTTCTTTTTTGTTCTTTGTTTCAGAATCAGGAAAAAAGGGTGGTCTTTGAGGGATTTATGGGTGAATGATGAAGGGAAAAATCAGGGACCCTCGATTTGCACAAGCCTAGAGAATCAAATTGCATCCGCGACCGCTGAAGGTTGGAACCTTTCTCAAGGAATCCGACTGTAGCATATGGGAGATGGTGAGAGAGAGAGAGAGCTCTTTTCCCTTTCTCGTGAGCCCAGCAGCAGTAACTAACTTTGGAAAGAAAGGAGGGATGACATGCAATGGTAATACGCGCCTGTGAAAAGGCTGCATGTAGAGAATCTACACCGTAGTAGACGGATTCGAGTAATTAGAATTCAAGGAGTAGGTGATGTTTCATAACTCGAATTCAAACTCGAGTATTGAATTTGAGTTTGAGTTACCGAACGCAACATAAGTCAAAACGACTAAAAATTTACATCCGAATGATCAGCAAATGAAATCACATTTTTGACCGACCGACCTTTTTTGTTACTTCATTTATAAGCAACATATTTCCTTCTATTATTGCTCTTTAAATTTTCCCTTCTTCCTTATGATAAGAAAAAAAAATATAAGAGAGAGAGAAATGGGGTTTCTACTTCAGAAGCCAGTTCTCTTTAGTTAACTTATAGCTTCATTATTAATAACGTAGTAGTTATCTCCTATTTAATGCAGTTAGCACATATATATATATATACATATTCAATATTGATATATCTATAAAGACTTAAGAGCATTTTGGATACATAACCTCAACTTATAATCATTGCATCTTATTGTTAGTATTATTATTTTTTGAATTGCGTATGTTATTTTTTCACACATTATTATTTATTTATAAATATAGTTCAAAGACCTTCATAATTGAAATGGACCAATATATTCTTTTTTTTATTAGAACAATATATTCTTATTGACTTAAGAATGTCATACGAAATTGACTTTCACATTCCGTTGGAGATTTGTCTAAATCATGGGCTATACTAATACACAAAAGTGTTGTTGTTTTTTTTTTCTTTAATATTTTTTTTTCTTTCGAAAACACAATGTAAAGTTAAAGAATTACTCTCACACGTTTTAAATATCCTCAGGCACGTCCATTTTTACGTACCTTTGCATGTTTTTTTTTTCTTGTCTAAAAAAATTCACCCTTATAACAACGTGTCTTCTAATATTCATTCTTTATAATATGAAATACTATACCAAACAGAAACTCTTTAGTCATGTTTAAAATTGATCCCGTTTTTATTTTTTACGTTTTTTGAAAAAGAAAAAATAAAAACGTTTATAAAATGGTGTTTGGCGCAATAAAGACAAAAAAAGGAAATGAAAACGATTTTTAGTTTATTGTAAAATGAAAGAGAAATGAAAAGAGAGAGACATTAATGGTTTTTTTATACTGAAAATAATCTTTTGATAAAACTACAAAACACATTTTCAAAAATGATTTATGTCTGAGATTAAAAACGTTTTCATTTTCATTTTCATACAAAAAAATAAAATAATTTTAGAACGAATTCCAAACGCGGACCTTATGTTGTGTGCTAGAAAAAAAGAATCCTTATGTTAGGATGAGGAAAAATTAACATAATTGACACGTGGTAGATGACATAGAGGTCTTTTGATAACTCTATTACGTCCAGAGTTAATTTGACTTTAAAGTATTGATATAATTTAAAATTCTAATTGTTTAGGATGATAAACTAAAATACTATTTAATTTTAATTAAAATGATAATCTCTTGGTTCAGTTTTGTGTAACTGCATGTGAATGAGCTAGCAGAATAATTATACACTAAATTATTTAACGATCTTCATTTTTACTAAATTATTTAACGATCTCCATTTTTTGTGTGATATGTGTTATTTGTGTTAAATATTAACATTGTTACAAGCTCTTACTAGCTTGATGAAATTGCCCCAGGCACGTCTGTTTACATACCTTGCAAAAAAAGTATTTAAAATTATTATGAACAATTAACACTGATCGAGTACAAATGATTATAATTTGTTATTTGAACAAGTATAAAATTTGAATCTCCAAAATTAGGATATGCAAATATGAATAAATATAGCCAATCTATAGCGTTTTGTCCTCTCACACGAATTTCAAAAGCTACTATTTGAGATCTATGAAGACCTCTTTCGCTTCGCGGGTTTGAATATTTAAATTTTATATGATTTGAATTGGCGTTTAGTAGTGTAAGGTCTAAACATTGAATAAAATTTGAACCAATATTTAGTTACATTATTAGAACATGAGTTTTTAAAAAATGTGAGTGAAAATGACCGGTGAGAACTTTTAGATTGATTTTTGAACAGTAAAATGGGTGAGTTTTTAATTCGAGTTGAGATGTGATTTTATATGAGAATTTTTTACTGTAACAAAAAAGTTAAATGTGACTGTTTTTGAGAGATTTTTACTATAACAAAACTTGAATTCTAAATTCAAATCGATAAAATAAACGAGACCTAAATCTCCACCGGCAAGCTTGAAACCCACTTATTCGTCGTTCAACGTTGTTGCTATATCCTCACACAGATCCACGTCCCTCTCTTAAATCGATTTGAAAAATAAATAAATTTGTGACAGTAAAGAGTTTAAGGTTTAAATTAGCATAATTTTCAGTACAAGGTCAAATTACATAAAAGAGAATAAAGTTTAGAATCTTTGATATATTAGCATAATTTATTTATTATTTATTTTTACTTTTTCAGTACCAGTTCACACCAACCTTCGAAACTCAAAAAACACAATCCAATCACCGTCCTCCACGTCATATCGTACGACGTGGTCGTAATCGAGTTTCTCGATTACCCAAAACACCCTTCATCTTCTTACATAAAGACGAATATATCCCTCAAACCTCAAGAAGTCGTTCCTTTGGTCATCGCCGAGCGAGTCAAGTCTGAGTCTGCCCAGAATAAAAGAGCTTTTTTACTCTCCGATTCCTCAATGGCAGATCCACTTGGACCCATGTACCATTGAAAGATCCAAACCCCTTTGGGTTAGAAATTACGTTTCTTTTTTTTTTTTGCTTTTTACTGAAGCAGATAATGGAGACCCGTTTTAGATCCGGGTTTTGTGTTCTTATCGTTCTCGTCTTCGTGGGACTTTGTGGGGTTCGTTCCGTTTGTGCCGAAAATCGAAGACCTAAAAATGTCCAGATTTCTGTTCAGGCCAAGTGGTCCGGAACTCCATTGCTTTTGGAAGCTGGGTACATTTTTCTTTTTTTTGTGATTCTGGTCTGAATTCAGTTTTTTTCCCTATTTTTTAATTGGGTAATTGAGGGTTGTTCCCCTTTTTTTTTTTTTTTTCTAATCCATTGCTGATCTGAAATTTATATTTTGATGCATATACTTGGGAAAGTTGACTGGGTTTATGGTAACGTATTATATTTATCAGTTGGAGTCAGTCCATTCTTCGGAGAATTATAAGATGAAAAAAGTACAACTTAAACAATATTCCAGAAACTTTGCCAATTGCACCCTTAAAATGAAGCTTAGAGCTCGTTTGCTTAGTGGGTTTGAATAGAAATTCGAATTTTTTGAGAGAGAAAACAGTGTAGCGAAAAGGTTTGAACCGCAGTTCAAACTGCAAACTAGCATTAGTTATTTTTGTTGAGCTGTAGACTGATCGTTTTAAATTTCATTTTCTTGATGCTGAAACTTGTCTTACGGGTTTTTAAACTTTTTTTTTTCTTTCTGGGTGATCTTTTGTGCTACATCCATCTTTTATTTTTATTATTTCTTTTATCCTTGAGGGTAAATTTAATTCTTCTTTTGGGTAGTCTATGATTTTGTTGGTGTGCTTTCCTCTAGTGCTGTTATTTTGAGGAGTCTAATCTTATTGTGTTGTTCTCCTTTATCTTTTGGTAAAAATCTCTTATTTGTCTAAAGATTTTTCATTGAAGAAAATAAGCTATTATTAAGGAGAACTTTGCGGTAGCGAGAAAAGCATAATGCTTGGAGAATGAGTTCAAAGTCGAAAAAGGCAGAAATGAAAATATTATGGTTCAAACTTCTTATTCAAGTGAGCAAAGAGATATTATGGTGCAGCCTTTTAATTCAAACAAGTAAAGAAACATAATTTTCTCTAAATCCGATAAAGATAGCGCATAGGTGATTTTAGTAACAGTCTTATCTTAATATTTTCTCCTGGACAAATTATGCCGTTTCTTCTGAGCGAAGTAGCCAGATAGCTGCCTTACGATACGTATATGCTGCAGTACGACTTTTCTGCATTACCCTATAACCAGAAATTCTGCCATTTCTATATTTTTAACATTTTGTTGGATTGTGATAAATTCTGTTTTGCCTTGCTTGCAGTGAACTATTATCTAACGAATGGAAGGACTTTTTCTGGGACTTCATTGAGGTATGGCTTCATTCGGAGAACGATGATGCTGATTCTTATAGTGCGAAGGATTGTCTCAAGAAAATTTTAAGACATGGACGCTCTCTTTTAAGTGAACCATTGGCCTCGATATTCGAATTCACTCTTACTTTGAGATCAGCTTCCCCGAGATTGGTGCTTTACCGACAATTAGCCGAGGAGTCTCTTTCATCTTTTCCTTTGACTGATGAAACCACTCAAAATAGTCTTGGCGAGGGAATTTCAGAAACAAATGAGCAGTTGCAAACAAAAAAGTCAGATCCCTTAAGTGTTGGTGTGAACCCAAAAAGCCCCAACGGAAAATGTTGCTGGGTAGATAATGGGGGCACCTTATTCTTTGATGTTGCAGACTTGCGATCATGGCTTCAGAGCTCTAGTGACCCGTATGAATTGCTCTATCCCTTTTTGGTTTATTAGTTGCGCATTTCATATTTCCTTACACTTCTTCTTTGTTTCCTTGTTTCCAGAGCTGTAGATTCATTTCAGCAGCCTGAACTCTTTGAATTTGATCACATTCATGTTCATTCAAGTGCTGGAAGTCCAGTTGCTATTCTTTACGGGGCTCTTGGAACCGATTGCTTTCGCGAGTTTCATTTCACCTTAGTAGAAGCTGCTAAAGAGGTCCAGAACTTGTATTATAGCATTATTTTGTTACTATTTTGGTATTAGAGATGCGTCGGACTTTCTTTATTTGTTGCTTGTTTTTGCGTGATTTGTGTTCTAAAAGTGTAGGTTTTTTGTTGTAGTGATAGAAAATATGATGGTACGTGTAGTTGATCCCATCACATTTGTTAGAAGTGTCCAGGATCGTCTTCTCTAATAATAGCTACTTAGATGCACTATTTATTGTATCCTATTTTTAGTCTGTTTAGTATTAGTTGGTAGATACAATTAATATCCAATCCTTGTATATATTAGTGTTTTTCCTGAGTAATAAAACATAACAGAGGTATTTTCACTTATAGCATTTATGATTAAGACAGAATGGAATGGGCTTTGGATTTTTATGGTCTCTGTATCCAGCACTTTATATTGCTTACTATCCGAAATAGTTAAAAACTTTCAGGATTAAAAATATGCTAATATTAGTTGCCTTCTAAACTGAGTAAAATTTTCTATTATAGTTGTCGACTTTGATTCGGATGGTTATATATTACATAATGAGTGTACAACATAATAATTTATTGGTGTGCATATTGGAGGCTCATCTAGAAGTGTTTCGAGGTCGATTTCCCTTGGCTGCCTAAGTTACTATTTTTTGTACTAACTTTTTTTTTTCTCCGTGCCTTTATTTAGCATGTTCTTTTGAATTTTTATCTCTTCTAGTCTTCTTGGTCTGTTAACTGAATTTCAAGTTTTTTACCAAATCTGAATGATAATGAAACTCCAGGTCATGTCTCTTTGCTGTCTGTTATTGAAGAACTGTCCTGGGATGGATTCCTAAGGGTTTGGTTCTTTGATTTTTTGGGGGTCTTCACTTGTATATCTTATTTGCATTGCTTGCTTGATGGTTCTTATTAGGTGAGCTATGATTCTTTTCACTTCATTTTGAAAAGTTTGATCCGTGGGTAAGAGAAACTTACTACTATGTTCCTCAAAGGAAATGGCGTTTTCTGTCTCTCCATCTTGTTATTTTCCCCCTATAGAAAAGAGATGAGCAGAGTTTTAATGCCTGTTCTTATGTTGACCAACGGCTTAAATTTTTGGTATTATTTGCTGAGTGAAGCTGGTTTCTTTTGGCTATCTCTCTGTGTTGAGTTTCGTTTGTTGAGAATTTCTCAGGGTTTGGAGTCACCAGAAGAGCCAAAGTTTGATTAAGAAATTCAGTTTCTCTGTATCTGGAGTGTGTTGTGATTGGAAAGAAATTCCTGAATTTCCAATGAAAATTTTTTCTGTTTCTTTCTTTTGGGTTTTCTGTTTTATCTCTCTTTTAAGACCTGTTGTCCTTTTTTCTTTGAGGTTGTCTTTCTAATCAATAATAGGAAGTTTCTTATAAAAAAGCTGTTCCTTTGGAGTAGTTCTTTTTGTGCTTCTTTATTTGCTTTCACAGAAAAATAGTTTGAAATTCTATTTCTATGAATTGGAAAAATGTTGTGCAATCCTCAAAAAAAAAAAAAAAAACTGTGTAATCTTTTCTTCCTTTTCTTTTTGTGTGGATTTTTACCATGTATTCTGTGTCTTGTTTTTTTGTTTGTTTTGGTGAACTTTTGGTCTTCCGAATTTGTAGAAATAAATTCTTTTTCCTACAGAAGAGGTGTGAATTTGTTTATTTTCCTTCGAGACAGCTGATTTTATAACCATAATAACTTCCAGGGAAAAGTTAGGTATGCTGTCAGACCTGTATTACCTTCTGGCTGTGAAGCGAAAATTGGCCATTGCGGTGGTGTTGGTACACGAAATTCTTTAAACTTGGGCGGTTATGGTGTGGAGCTTGCTTTGAAGAATATGGAATATAAGGCTATGGACGATAGTACAGTAAAGAAAGGTTAGAAACGTTGAATTTCAGGCGGTTCTTTTTTCTGTTTCTTTTTTTTTTTTTTAAATTTTATTTATTTTAATCCATGTTGTCTTTCTGAAAGAAAATTCATAAAATCTGATGCATGCAGGTAGTGATGTCTGATGAATGCTACTGTTCTTTCTGTTATTTTGAATGTGCTTTACCTTTCAAGTCACTGTAACTAGTAGTCATCTCCTCGTTTCTTTTCTTGTCTCTTTGTTAGTTGCTTATGGTGTGAATTCCTAATAGAGGGCACTGTTTAGCTTTGCAAATCCCAAGTCGCTTGAGATAATAGTTGCATTTAATTCATTGGTTTCCAAGCTTTTTTTGATGAAACAAGTTTCTCTTCCACTTGAACTATGTATCTTATACGAGAGACAAATTTTGTTGAAGAATAAAAACCTAAGTACCATACACATCCAAGGATAATGTATCCTTAGGTAGTTGAGAAAAGAAAAAAAATAATAATGAAAAAGGAGCTGGGAGAGTTTTTAATGTTTTCTGTCCGAGTCTCTACATGAACTGCATAGGATGTTTTGCTATATACAATTATCGTGTCTCTTCATTTTAATTGTTACTCACTTCCAGTTGTAGGTCTCGCTTCGTTGTTTATATATATATATATGTGTGTTTTCTAATTTTGAAAAGAGACTCTAGAAAAAGTAAATAACCTGCAGAATACTGGTTGATGGAAAACAGATGAGTCATAATAAAGCTTTTGTTTTAATTTTAATTGTCTGTAGATGAATTATGCGAAGTAAACTTCTCTAAGTCCTCAATGTTTATGGAAAAAGTTCTAATTTTAATTGTCTGTAGATGAATTATGCGAAGTAAACTTCTCTAAGTCCTCAATGTTTATGGAAAAAGTTCTGTTTCTTGCATCTATGTTGTGATTAAGTAATTCATAAGAAATGATCCTAAAAATTGTGAGATTTGAGTTGTAGGTATCACATTGGAAGATCCTCATACTGAAGACCTCAGCCAAGAAGTTAGAGGGTTCATATTTTCTAAAATTCTGGTTTGTTTCCTTTATTGTAACCTCATTCAACATCAGCAATTGTACATCAATTTTAGTTGGTTTTGGGAACAAGTGGCCATTTGGTAATAATAGTTTGTATGTTTCAACAAAGAAAAATGTACTATTACGGTTACTTGCTGAGATTATTGCTCTGGTTCACATGTTACACTGGTAGTCTCAACTGAGTTGTGCCAGTTGGCATTACAATATCGTATCTGCATGCTTGTTAATTTCTTTTCTTTTTTCCACCCTTCCTTTATGAAGAATTATAATTACGAACTAATTGAAAACATCGCAAACTGTTTTGCTTTTTCTGTAGCAGCCGCCATACTTTTTTCTCTTCATTAGACATACACAAACACACAGATTCAGCACTGGGGATCTTAGACCCTTTTTCCTTAAAAATAAAATTTTCATTAGGGGAAAAAAAAGGAAATGAAAAGGTATAGCTGTGGAGGAGAAGTCGTCCAACAAAACAACAAAAGATATTGAAAAAAGATACAAAAGACTTGTCCGATTATAGAAAATGCTATAGTCAATATTTAATCATGTGAATTGAAGGTTAAATTTTGTGCCAATTTGGAGGAATATATATATATATATTGAAATGAATTTGTATGAGCAATTTGTTTCAGATGAAGGCAGGAAATGTGAGGGCTAAAAACTTCTGTTTTTTGTTTTTTTCTTGTTCTAATAAATTTTGTACTCACAGTTAAATGTGATGATAATTTATTTTCTGTCCTATTGCTTGCAGGAACGCAAACCTGAGCTGACATCGGAGATAATGGCTTTCAGGGATCACCTATTATCAACAACAATATCTGATATGCTTGATGTTTGGGAACTAAAAGGTTTTTCTATTGATAGGCTTTTCTTGTGTCAAGTATAATAAATTGCAAGCAATTTTGTATGATCGTGTCATTTTTATTTTTTATTTTTTCTCTCTCTCTTCTTCTCAATAGATTTAGGACATCAAGCTGCACAGAGGATTGTGCAGGCTTCGGATCCTCTGCGGTCAATGGAGGAAATCAATCAAAATTTTCCCAACATTGTTTCTTCTTTATCACGGATGAAGGTAGACAAGTCTGTTACAGTTATTAAGTTTCATATAAATAATGCGCCGTGTGGAGATTTTGCATTATGTTATATTGAATTTCCAGTTTAAGTGCTGACTTATTGTGCCTTAATTTTTTTATTTCTTTTAATAAGAAGCACAAAATGTTTGTTTTCTGTTTTGCAGCTTAATGATTCAGTCAAGGATGAAATAACTGCAAACCAGCGAATGATCCCGCCTGGAAAGTCTTTAATGGCTCTGAATGGTGCTTTGATCAATATCGACGATGTGGACCTTTATTCGTAATAATTTTTCTCTCTCCAAATTTCTTTTCCTTCTTTCCTATATAAGACCTTGCTTTTTTTGTTTTTTTTGTTTTTTGTTTTATTTATTATGCATTTTGCTATTTAGGGGCCATTTACTGATGATAGTATAATTTCAAGCAGATTTAATCACTTCACTTATCCATTTAGTATTTCCAGGATGCCTACATGTCATGCATATAACTTAACATTCTTTACTGAAAGAGCTCACGCACAGTTTGTTTTGTAGTATTTAGTTAAATAGAAAAATATGGTGCTTCCAAAGATTTTCCCGTTTCTTTGATTATTTTGAAATGGAAATTTGTAGTGGGGTCTTGAAGTGTTATTGAGTTCTTTGGCTTTTCTTTTATTATTATTATTATTTTTTTCCAAATATTTGATGCTATTTCCCTTTTGTTTTCGGAAATTCTTGTGGATCTTTAGTTCTTGTTTCCTTTCTATTGTTTTCAGTGTCAATACAGGATGTTTATTATTATTATTATTATTATTATTTTTTAAGATGTGTCTGTGGGATGACCTTTCATTGGATGGACGGGTATTTGTGGCTTCTCTATCAGTTCCCATCTCTGAAAATATGCCTTCCTGTGTTTCTTATTAAGAAAGATGTCTTGGTGGGTAGAGCTTTCGTTGGATGGACTGAAATTTGTGGCTTCACTTTCAGTTCCCCATCTCTAAAGACGTGAATTCCTATGTCGGAAGGATGTTGTAACTTTCTTCTTCAGCTCTGTCGCACATTTATTTATTGGTTTTTGCTTGATGTTTTGCTAAAGTATCTTTCTGTCTTTACTTTTCTAGTTTTTAGTTTTTGGTTCAAAAAAGGGGAGTTAGCACCCTCCCATCCTACACTTATTGATACTTGTAAAGACAGAATTCCATCCCAGACCTTTGGTGTAAATGGGTCTTACCAACTGAAACAGCTTGTACGTTTTGTGACAAGAGATATTCAATACTCAGTAGTCAGTATTAATTTTGACTATTCAGGAACAGAAGTGTCAAGTACAGTCTCTCTTATTTTATTGTCATGCATTGAACAATTGTTCCCTTCTCTAGCAGAAAGGAAGCCAAAATTGGGGTTAATCAAAAGCCAGTTAGTCACTGAACTGAAGTGAAACCTTGTCTTCACTTGCTGTCCAGAATAGTTGAACTTTGTGTGGCTGTGTTTCTAGAACAATGGTATACAAATCCTCCTGCTGTTTGGCCTCAGGCTCAGCTTATTCTGTCGGCAACCAGAAACTTGATCTGTCACCCCCTAATTTTTTTATTTTTTATTTTATTTTTATTTGTAAGTCTTCTTGATGTCTTATTGAAACAACCACTTTAGCCAAAGATGGCGTATTCCCTATACTTTTATTTTCTTACCTAGCTTGGTTACGCTTGACATATGCACTTTGTTCATTGAATGTCTAAACTTATCATAATTAATTTATTTATATGACTCCTAAGTCCTAACATATAATAACTTTTTCCTTTCTTTCATAGGTTGGTTGACTTGGTGCATCAGGATTTATCATTGGCTGATCAGTTTTTAAAATTGAAGGTGATTAGCATTCAATCTTATAATTCGAAATGCCTGGAATACTATGGGCCTGTTTGTTTTTGTTTTCGTTTTTGTTTTTCACGTTTTTCGAAGCTAAAAAATGAAAACACACTCTAAAAACGTGTTTGGCACAAAACTTTTCAAAAAACAAAAACAAAAACGTTTGTCTTTTTGTGAAAAAATGAAAACGAAAAAAATCCGTTTTCTCGTTTTCGTTTTCATTCTTCTGAAAACAGTTTTCATTTTTTTTTTTTTTCTTCTCTCTCTTCTCCACTGCCCACCACCCCCGACAGCCCCCTCCCCCACTCCGACATCAACACCGACTGAAGGAGATGAAGGACGACAGAGAGAGATGTCGCCGGAAATGTGGTCGCTCGGTGGCTATCGTCAGTTGTCGGAGGGCGCC